GAAGATAGTGATTCAATAGATGAAGAAATTCACCAATCATAAGTTGAGCTGTACCCCAAATTGTATTCCATTAGTTAGCACCCCATCACCACATCGGATGACCCAAATGGAGTCGAAACTAGTGGTCTACAAAGTGGGATGCGCCCACCATAGGAGATACTCAAAGTAGTCCATTGAGGTAAGGAAGAAAAAACGAGAACATTCAGTTTTTAAATAAGAAAGAAGTATTGGACTATTATTTAACAGAAAAATTGAGCTTGGCCCTCTCTGTCTTGGTCAGGAGTCAGGTATCCAGAAAGACCTGTGATGGTTTCACAACATGCGGAATCAACAGAAAAATGCGTATATTAGTCTTCTGCAGCTTGAAAACGGACAGATGAAAACGTTTACAGTTTTAGTGCTTTGTTTTGCCGCAAAGGTCATGGCATTTACAAACATTTATAAAAGTCATTTTGAAAACCTAGATTTTTCCCATGCAATTTCTGCAAAGTTTAAATTCATTTTCGAAAATAATAAAACTGCAAATCTTCCAATTATTGTGCAACAGGAGACATCAGCGATGGCAGGAATTTAGAGGATAAATTGCAACAAAAAACATTTGCTTGCTTGGCTGGATGAAATTTAGTACCATAATTTAATAAGCACAGTTAATAATGCATTTTTTCTTTTGGATCTATATATCAATGTGGCATATATTATTCAGTTTTGACAACTATTATAACCAAGTATCAGAATTTCTTTATCATAAAATTTTTTGACAATAGTGAAGCATTGCCATGATATTTTTCACATATGAAGATATTCTTATATATCTTCTTTGTGAAAACAAAGCAGTTTTGATATTTTACTTACATGTTAATAATATTTCAGGGAAATTAAAATGTTTTGAATCATTCATAAATAAAATGAAATGTACTACAAATTGTTATTCATTTGATCTTTACCTCATCCTTTAAAACAATTTTTTAAATTTGACTGTTTCAAAATTCAAATAATTTATAAATGAATAATATCCAGAAATCAGAGATGTACACTTAAAAACTTCTATTGATAGCTGTGTAGTAAAATATATGTTCAGCAGCCTGCACAATTCTCTATCATAGATATTTAGGAGACATTCCAAAATTAGGTTGGGGATTTATTCTAAATCACTCTAAGTTTTGTGACTTTTTTCTTCCACGCTGAGTTTATTATTTTCATCAGTTCTATATTATCTCAAGTAAAACTGCTTTTTCTTTTGGAGAAGTGTGCAGTCTCTTTTTTTTGCAAAAAAAGTTAAATTTGGAGACTCAGGCCGGAACTATTCTTAAACTGCCTTTTGCGTCACAATTTAGTGAAACCTGGGTAAATCTTTATCTTTTCTTATAATACATAGTTCAACAGTGCTGTTTAATATCTAATTTAGCCATTTCTACTGTAGATTAAACCTATTTCTTTTTATTATAACTACCCCCCAAAATTAGTTATAACTCTGAGTTTGAAGATGATTGCTATGTTCTGGCCTTTAAAAAATAGCTTTGTCATTTTTAATTTGGTAAAAGAGAGTGCTATTTATTCTTTTTCTTGCTCTCTTTTGTTAATTTGCTTATTTTTTTAAAAAAAATAATGCATTTGTAAAGTAATTCAATTAAAAAAATCAATCATTTTTGTATTTAGGAATAAAAAGTTAACCAACAAATTCAGAAAATATTAAATGGAGCAAAGAATGGATGACTTAGGGTTCCTCAAAACTGATATGACTCTGGAAGAGCTGAAAAGAAATAATTAGACTAGAAATGCTAGTAATATGCATAAATGTGACTTCTCTATTAGTGGCAGCTCAGTCTCAATAATATAAAGTTAAAAGCCTTCTTTAACTTAGAAAAGATAGAGATTAACAACTTCATGACAAATGAAAAATAGTCTCAATGCTTTAGGCCATATTTTACAGGAAAATTAAGGAAAATATTTTAGGGGTCTAAATTTATTGTTGAATGTCATTTTCCTTTGTAGGAGGAGACAGTGGAAATGATGTATATGTACAGAAAACTTACACATATTTTATTTTCAATCTGGCTAAAGTAAATGAGTTTTCTAAAATAACTACTCTTATGAATGTTTTGGCGACTTATCAAAAAAAGTCCTTAGAAAGTGAAGAAAGACAAAAACATTTAAAATGGCTCACTGTGCTACTCTTCACTGACAGCAGATTATGCAAGTAAAATGGCCTCTGGACCTGAAGGCTCTCAGATCTTGCAGGTGATGTGGCTTCTTAAGGTTGCACTCGATCATAGACTGCTACAGTATACTATATTTAAAATAGGTGTTACTGAAAAATTCTCACCACTTCTGTGGTTACGAAAAGCACCCTGAGAAATATGAAAAAGAAAAAGAGGGAATGAGTAAAGAAATTAAAGACCCAAATGAAAAATTTTAACATAATAAACATCCTATTTTCTGTGATCTTTCTAAGATCATAAACTCCTTTACCAGGATCATCTCAGCATTTTGCCTCAAGCTAATTCCGTTCAATTTTGAAGGAATATACGGAGATCTAGCATTCTACTTTGTGCCCTAGTTCCCAGCACCTCCTCCTCATCCATCTGAAAAACTTATCTTTTTGCTCATTTGTTGTCTCTTTTGTGGAAACATCCATGATGAACCTAGAATATTTTATGCAATGCTATCTCACTGATTGTCATCAATATGTTTAAAATCCTGTTTTCTCAGTTGGAATATGAGTTCTTCAAGGCAAGGCATACACCTTATTCATCTCCATATGTCCAATGTTTAGAACAGACCAGCTCTACATTGATAAATGTCTGAGAAATTCAAAAGAAAGAAAGAAAGAAAGATGAAAAAAAGAGAAAAAGAGAGAGGAAAAAAGAGAGAAAGACAGAAATAAAAATAAATATTGGTTAAATGAATGGATAAATGGTATTAGAGGGGGTATTGGGTGTGTCACAAGTTGTTATTAGAGTTATAGAAAGAGCATAGCACATTTCTCATTTAAGATCCCCTGATAGACATGCAATAGACTCAACCCTGAGCATTGGATGGAGTGAAATCCCAATACAGTAGCAATAAAAACTTAGTACTAAATCAGAGCTAGGCAGATGAGTAAAATAGAGCTGTCAATCCAAAGAGCCTAAGCAAAAAGTCAGAATTCAAGTCAAAAGCAAAGGAATGGAAATGAGGGAGATCAGAGGAAAGAAGAGAAACAGAACCAAGAGAAATCCCAAAGGTAAAGAGAGTAATTACTCAGTTCTTTGTATGCTGGTGATACTAAAGCTCTTAATCTCAAGTTCATGTGCCTGATGTACAGTAAGCCAATCACTGAGACACCAGCACTTGGATGTAGAGAAAGTTTTATTTAAATTGGCCAAAATGAGAAGGCAGAAGGATAAGTTCTCTCAAATTCACCTTAACAAAGGAAGAAAGCAGAAAGACTTTATAGAGCTAAGGGGCTTGGGAGGAGGAGTTTCAGAGAAGCAAAGGGGAAATCTGTGTTCCTGTCACTCCAGATAAGCCCTTGGGCAACTAGAATTTGGGGAATCAGCAGCTGGGGGCTGGTTACCTGGTGGTTGCAACTTCTTTAAAGGCATTCTTTTTCTTCTGCAAAACAAGCTCATAAATCCTTATCACCCTTGAATCACCCCTCAGGTTAAACAAGAAAACAGCAAATTAACAAGCTTATAATGGTGCATGGGTTAACTTCTTTTCATCTGTGTCTGTGTTGGAAACAAGATTGAAGGGTAACCATGCTCTTATTAAATATTTACAGTAACCCTCTGGTACTCAGCTTCACTGGTAAGACCTTAGCACTGCATAGTGACTGACTCAGATCCTGGATGGGCTATTGAGTGCAAGTATTGGTTCAGTTGATGACCAGATTCTTGACTTTTAGTGGGACATTGTCCTCATTTGTAAACCAGGGATGACAATAATACCTACCTCACAGGGTTGGTGTGAGAATTAAATAAAATGTGTCTGCAAAGCATTTAGCATAGTTCCCAACACATAGTCGGTAATAAATGTTAGCTATTGTTACTAGGAGGTTATGATTCAATTTGGACAGATGAGGTAAAATAAGAGATAAAAAATATATATATATGGGTTCTAGGTAGAGTGACAGCATTTATCAGTTTGCTTAGATCAGTCCTGGTTTATATATGTTGTCTTGGTATCTTATTTGGTTAGTATGCTCTTTCACTATCATAGAAACTTAAAAAATTAAAATGTGTTAGAATATCTTTAGAATATCAAGATAGGGAATAATTTTCTTAAACATGAAATGAAAGATACAAATTATAAAGAAAAAATGTTAAATACAATTGTCATATGTAAAATTTCTAAACAAAAGACAAATATCCGCCCAAATTAAAAATTGCACCAGTAATAAAAAAAAATGCAAATAAACACAATGATGATTTTGCTTCTATAATAGCACAGAGCTGGTTGCAAAGCAAACCTCCCACAGGGACCAAGTAGAAAAGCTGGACAAATTGCAAAAGATTTAAATTAGAGTATGTTCTTTGGTTATAGTGTCAAACTAGAAATCAATAGTGAAAAGGTAGCAAGAAAATACCTAAATGTTTAAGAATTAGACAATATATTTCTAAATAATGCATAAGTCAAATAGCTAAATAAAATGTAGATAACATCAATGAAGATTAAAATATGACATGAAAACATTGGGAGGTAGCTAAAGCCATGCTTAGAGGAAAATTTATAGCATTGATGACTATATTAGGAAAGAAGAAAGGCTGAAAAATAGTGAATGATTTTTACTAATCTAAGTTCTCATTTGAAGATTCTTGAAAAACCAGAGCAAATTAAACCCAAACAAAGTAGAAGAAAGGAAGTAATAAATATAAAAGCAGAAAGAAACGAAAGGAAAAAATGTAAAACAAATTAACAAATTCAATGTTGTTTCTTTAAAAAAACTAAGAACAGTGATAAATCTATATTGACAGACAAATTTTTTTAAAAGGTAAAAATAACTAGTATCAGAAATAAAAAAGAGGTCATCACTACAGATATTTACTCCAGAAAGGTATTTATACTCAAAGACCAAAGTAATTCACCATATTAATGTCATAAAGGAAAAACATTGTGTGATCATTACAATAGATACAAAAAGGCATTTGATAAAATTCAATCTATTCAAAACAGTACTAAACTAGGAATAAACTTACTAAACTAGGAATAAAAGGGAATTTCATTAATCTGATTAAAAAATGCACAGCAAGCATTATGTTTCACATATTCATATATTACAACAGAGATATTAAAAGCTTTCCTCCTTGAATCCCAAATGAGACAAGGATGTTATATCATTTTCCCAAATTGGAGTAGAAAAATCAGAATCTCATTTAGGTTAAAAAGGTATGTTGATCCTAAAGCATCTGAATCTATTTTCTCCCAGGGATGGAGGAGGCAAGGAGAGAGGGAGAAAATGGCAGAAGATAATTAGATTTCTCTCAACCTCTTTTCTTTTTTTTTTTTTTAATGTGAAAAGGCATTTAAAAGAGAGAAAAAGGTGAGTAGTACCAGAGGCTGGTATTAAAAGGTAGATGCTGCTGGTATGAAAGAAAGAAAGAGAACATGACAGAGAGCCAGACAAGTCCTGTGATTGACAGAGACGCAGGAAGAAAGGCAGGGGATGCCTGGAAAATGAAACACTGGGAGACAGAAGGGGTAGGTTTGAATGTCCCTATGTTTTACGTTTTGCTTCTATTTCATTTTTTGTTGTGGTGTAATAAATCCTCCTAAATCCTGGTACAAATTAGATTATGTGCTTTTCCCTGAGTCAGACATAGCCATTGTCTCTTTTGACTAGGATGAAAAATTATCAAAATAAATAAAATGGCCCGAGATGATTCTAATTTCTTTGAAATCCCCCCAAGTTAAAACCAACTGCTTCTCTCTATTATCACCCTAACATCAAAACAGTCAGCCACACCCTGAACTTAATAGAAACATAGGAATATAAACAATGGTAACCTAACACAGTAGAAAAAACTCAATACTCAATGAGAATTTATAAATTGATATTTTCAATTAGTATGACCCACATTATAATAATCATTAATAAATCTGCTTATTCTAACTAAATTTAAGACTTGGATTTCAAGTAAGTGAGATGACTTACTCTCTGTTGTAGCTCTGACAAGTTGACACAAACAATAATCTTTCACAATAGAACCTGTGAGAAAAGAACCACTCACACAAGCATACCCCACAGTGCAAAATTCCACTTGGTGGTATGTCTGTGTTCACTCCCTATTTGTATTAAATTGGTTGGGTCACTTAAAAATTACCATCAGAATTGTAATATAGACAAAATAACTAGTACATGGCATTTTGCATCTGGTCCTGTTGGTGTCTTATGGACACAGCCAGTAATTCTTGGCAAAATCGAGGACTCCTAGCTATAACAGTGGTCAGCAGTATGGACTATGAAGTTCTGGATTCAATCACAAATGGGCCATTAAAAGCTAACTTTATAAAAAAATAAATAAATAAAACCACCAATCTGTTGGCTGAGTTTTGCCAGCGCCTCTAGAACTCAGCCTCACCAGTCCACTATAATGAAGACAGTAAACAGCCTGTTATTACATTGTTGTTCCTGTGGCAAGCAAACAAAGATACATTGAAGTCAGGCAGGTAACAGCATTAGCTCCCGAGTCATTTTCCAGACTTGACGGAGCCAAATATCACGTTGCAGATCAGCACAGAGCCACACAGCTGTTTTAATATGTCTTGCCACAGGAATTGGCTTACAGCCACCAGAGCAGGGTGGTGTAAAGGAAGCTGATTCTGGAGGAAAGGAGCGAATGCTTTTGCCTCCCTGGAGTCTGTTTATTTGTATACTTTGCTGTACAATCAGTATTTTAAAAGACAGTTCTAAATTTAGATCTGCCAAGTCAGAACTCTTGGAATATGGTTTTAGTCTAGAGAAGATAATTCTGATATGAAACTCTCGCTTGAAATCTTGAATCTCCCCATGAGTCCATCCTAAGCATGAAGGCTCATAGACCCCGATAATGATATATTAAATTTTAAACATTTGATTTACTGGTTTTAATTTTTATTATATTCTACAGTTTTGGAATTCTGTACACCCTTGCAGCTTTGCAGTATGTGCACTGTCTCCAGAAGAGAGGGATTCAGTTTTTAGATATCAAAATTCAAGGAAAGAGAAGATAATTAAAACTAAGATATATATCAAAAGGAATTCAAGTCTGTAGTTTCTGAACTGTACTTTTAAAGCTCACCTTCTTGCTACATATATGAATTTTATGTCCTCGCAAGAACACAGTATTTTTCTATTTTACAATGATTTTTCAGCAAGTAAATCAAAACAAGTTATTTAGATTGTTTTGGTGATAGAAGAAAATATTTACCAAAAAGCCCATTATGAGTAGCAACAGGAAGTAGAGCATTTATGTATGATTATTGCATTTGGAGATAATTTTATAAAGCAGAAAGCCAAATTTTTGAGAATTCTATCCCCCATAAATAACCTGCCATAAATAATAGAAGATCTCCTGTCTTTTTCTGAGCTGTAAAATGGAACTCTCTGGGTAATGCACTGCTATTTCTCATATTGCATTCTTTATCCTTACAGACTCAGGCCTCTGAAAGGTTGAGCAGGTGTATCTAGGAGTCAGGTAACATGAAACTTTGTCTTCTCTAGTTACTGTTTCTCATGCTGGACATACAAGCATTTATTAATTTTTTTCTCTCTAGGGAACATTATATCCTTTAAATAGGTGCAATAAATGTCACAGTCATCCGCAAGAGGTACATTAGTCGTTCAGATGAGGGGAGGGTGGAGTGTGGTTGCATATTTGGGAAAGTCAAGAAGAGTTTCTTTCCATCTAAGTTGTGAAATGTCTTAAAAGCCTGTCCAGATGTTATTCACCTCTGATAACTCTTGAAGCTGGGATATTGCTCAGCAAATTTGCCTTGAAAATATCTGTTGCTTAACTGAGTTGGTGCTTCTCATTTCACTCACTGATATACAAATAGCAATGTTAGCAAGTTGTGCCTTCACCCCCCAGCTGGGCAAGGCTGTGTGGTACAGCTGGCTGTTCCTCCAGTTGGGTTGACACATACCTCTGAGGACACGGATGGGATGCAAGACGGTCTGGAAGGCCATAGGATGAACATGCGGCATTTTCTGTAGTGGCAGTTTTACTTGAGGGAGGGGGAGAGCGAGAGTCAAATAATTTAAAGTAAATTGGCAGGTAGGTTATTTAAAAAGATAATATTGAAGCAAATATGTAATGGAATGATACACTAAATTTGCACACATTTTAAGATAAACAAATTTTGAATACTTAATAGAAATGTCACGCTTCCGCAGGACGTGTTCAGCGACAGCATCCCATACCGTCCATTTCTTCTGCTTTGGGGACCACTTTGGTGAGGAAGTGTGAGAAGTATGACAGAACAGGAGTAACACTGAGCTTCTGGTTTTCCTCCTGCTCACAGTGTGAACCTCGTCAAAGCCTGCCCCAAATCTGCAGAAAACGGCCGAAATACTGTCACCAACCCAGCACAGAGATTTTTTTTTAAAAGAATCAAATATGATAAAGTAGGTAAAAGCCCTTTATGAACTGGAGAAGTAGATTTTTTTTTCATTTATTTATTCTTTTATTTAGCAGACATCTATTGAGCACTTACTGTGAGACAAAACTCCACTCGGTGTGGTTGTTCTCTTCAAGGGGCCTCCAGGCTAAAAGAAAAGAGAGATGAACGGCTCAGTCATTTCCACACAGTGCCCAGAGGCCAATGAGAGATGTTTGCTCTGAGTGTAGTGAGGACAGGAGGGAAGACCTGAGGGGTAAGGAATAAAGCACGGAAGATAGCTCAGGAAAGAGATTTCTGGGCAGAACGGACACGAAGAGGCTCAAAGCAGGGCACATTTCATTAGCTAGAGGGATACCATGTTTGAGGAGTCCGCACAGACGTCTGTTTTTCTCCAGCAATGTTTCACATGGATGGACAGGTAGTTGGAGTTTTGGAGGTTCAAGGTTTCCCCAGGTGATTACAAAAAGGGGTTTGAATGTACAAGCAAAGAAGTGACTTCATGGAAGGATCAGGAAATCTAAAGGAGACTCGGGGGACATCGCTGAGAAAGAGCATGTGATGAAGTCAACAGAGGCGTGGTCTGCGTGAGGATGGAGAATTGCCCGAGTGTGACCCTGAAGCAAGCAGAATTGAAGAGGACTCATTACACCCAAATGGAGCTTCAAGTCCTGAGGGAAGAGCAGGTTTCACAGTGGTGTGGAGAGAATCATCCCAGCTTTGGGCAACTAAATAGTTGGAAGGATCCACAATGAAATGTTAATGGCGGTTATGGCATGGTGACAGAATTTTGAGCCAGTTTTATTTTATTTTCCCTGTCTTCTATATTTTCCAAAATTTCTTCATTGACTATATATTGCTTTTGCAATTGAAGCAAAATTAAAAACAGCTGTGGTGGCCCAGAGATCTAGGCATAAAACCAAACAGGTGATGGCAGACAATCTTTCCCAGACCGGGAGAAACGGGGAGTGACCTTTAGCACTGGGGCAGCATCACACGCTGATTCTGAGGAGGACAGACATGCCACATTTATTGTACTTCCTTCACATCTCTGCCCTGTGCCCATCCTCCCCTCTCTCACCCGGAAACACACATCAAAACTCACACGCCCAGTGAGAAACTCCCACACCAGCACACACAGATACTCACTTTTGCACTTCCTTTTTCTTAAGATGACAAGAAGCTCTATATATCATTAACACAGGCGACCACACCCAGTACTTTTATGAACATGTCTGCATGGCTATGGATAGTTTTGACTGTGTCCTTTGTTGTCACATGGTAGGCTTTGGCACAAGTTAATGTGCTGGGCAAGCTAATTTAAGTCAAAAAAATTCCCTGTTGGATAATTCGTCTCCCTCTCCTGCCTCCATATTCCCACTCCCATCTTTACTTCCAGTAAAACCATCAAGAGAGAGAAATTTATTCCTAGTCCAGTCCTGGAGATGTGGTGGGGCCAGAGGACAATAGATAATCCTGTAACCAAATTCCAGGGATTTTTCTCTGAGTAATTCATCAATGCCACCATCCAGGCAACTGGGAATTTCTCTCCCAAAGACCATCCTCCTGAAATCCATCGACTTTTCCCCTTACAATTCTTTAGCACCCTGTTACTTAAAATTCTGGTTCCATGTCAACAAAATACAGCACACGAGATTGATTACTAAAAAAAGTTTATTTTAAAATCAGTTTAAAGACGTAGTAATAGGTACAAACCATATAGAGAGCACACAGTCTTTTCTATGAACTACTTTTTTCATCTTCTTGCCTCGTCTAATCCTAGCTCGTTGGGTCTCATTCCTTTTTGGCTGGTTTATTCTGCCCCATCCAAGGGCTGTTTTTTCTTTAGCCCCATGTTGGTCCTTGGAAAAGGACATTCTTTTGTTCAGGCTGTAGATCCTAATTCCAGTTTTAGATTGGGCGGGATGCATCTTAGACTCCACCGAATGGGATCTCCTAGATTTGGTGCACAAATGTTCTCTGACATGACTTTGGATTTGCTTTCCTAGACTATTCCTCCTTAATTCTGTGGTCACTTGGATTATGCATTCCAGAAAATGCAACTCACATGAGGTCAAAAAGTCCTTGAGACCTTAAAGGAAGCCAAGATAATGTGCACAGGGACCGACTTGCTGAGGAGGCGTCTGCATAAACAGGAATAATCCTAGCCCTGACTCAGACAGACCTGCACTCAAATTCATTCAGTGCCATCTCTTAGCTGTACGACCTTCAGAAAATTATTAGCTTATTTGAACACTAATTTCCTTAACTAAAAATGGGATTCTAATCAGCTAATACAGCTGTTCTGCGTTTTTAAAGAGACCTTGTGCAGCCGGTTCCCAGCATAGTGACTGCAGTGGCATGTGGCGGTTTGCCGCCTTCCCTCTGCGCCCGCTCTTTGACAGTGACTATCTTTTAATCTGTCACATGTCAGCCATAATGTTAAAAGGAAAAAGCCCCAAGACCAAAAATTGGGGGGAGAAAAATATTGTACTGCCTAAGAATTCAGATGAGAATTGTCAACAGGTGGTCCAGCATTCCAGTGACACCAGAATTTCTTGGGACTAATCTAAGGGCAATTTGAGGGTAGACTCAAACACCCAATTGCTCCTAGAAGCAATCTGACTTTCTTGAATAAGAAAGAATCTCCTCAAGTCTCTTTCAAGCCCAGCCCAGCCAAGACTCCATGGACCACTCCCAGTCTGGAACTGAACCACAAAAAAAAAATAAGGAGAGAGAGAGAGAGAAAGAAAGGAAAAGAAAGAAAGAAAGAGAGAGACAGAGAAAGGGAAAGAAAGAGGATAGAACCAGTTGAATTTCTTGGAGGAGAGACAAAAAAAAACTCATTCTATTAATGTTCACCTTATGGCATCCTGCAATCCTGTATTACACATCCAATAAAACCATTAATCTATAGAGACACAAATCTCCCTAACAAAATAGTATTACTTCTACTATTTTATTTAGGCTTCAATAATCTTCAAAGTTATCAAACAAGATTTCTAATTGAACTAAAACAATCAGAATCTGCTTTTGATCGTATTTTTTTTTAATATAAACTCTCTTTCTCTTCTCTGTGACCATTTCTTTCTCCAACTCTTCTTTTCTCTAAATTAAGAAAGTAAAATCTCTGCCAGAAGAAAATACTCAGAAATAGACCTCCAGATAGATTCATCTCAATAAGAAATCAAGGAGAGATCTAAAAAGAAACAAAGAAGATGGGAACCTTGCCTTTGGACCTGCTACTTTTTCTATCTTGCTGGTTTAGGGGGCTCCTTGATTTCTTTTAGGACTCAGTTTCTGAATTTGGGTGTACTGAATTTTCCAGATTGAGTGATGAAGAGTCATGCTCTTCAGTTTTTCTCCTTGTCTCTACTGAGACCACAGTAAAGAGAAGAGGAACCCAAAGCAGATGAAAAGAAATTAAGGTCCCTTCTGGCAACAGACCCAAAAGTTGAGAAGGAACTAGGTTATGAAAGCGAAACCATCGATGCATCTACCGCAGTCAAGACGTCTGTTTTCCGTTTCTTAAATGTTTAACTTTCCTTAATAAATTTAAATTTTAAAAAGCTATAGCAGATTGTAGAAAGGGCTAAGGTAAATTTTTCTGAGTGTTTCTCTGCCAAATCTAATGCTAGAAATTTCAGATAGAATATTTCAAATTCTATCTATAAAGGGAATGAAAATTAAGTTCAACAGGCACAAAACAGAAGACTAGCCAGTGATTTGGAGTTACCCATGATCTCTACCACCAGCCGTGTTCTGCTACTCTCTGGGTTACTATGGGTCCACTACTTGGTGATGATGATAATGGTGATGATGATGGTGATGGTGATGATGGTGATGCTGATAGGAAGTAAAAGTCAGTTCCATCCTCTAGAGTTCATCACCAGGGCACCCCAATTCTGAAAAAGATTTACTCCAGACCACTCCCTAGGCTGCTTCCTGGCCTTCATTTTTACTAACAACTTTGTTTCTCCCAGCTCTTTTGTGGTAAAGCCTAATGGCAACACATAGATAATTCAGCAATCAAAATTGAGCTTTAATTTTAAGCTTTTGCATAGTGTGGAAGCTCTTTGGAGTCAGGTGGACTATTCAGCACTGGAAGCTCAGGGCCGACAGCAAGAGTCCTAAAGCAGAGACCCAAGTCCACAAGTCAGTCTTGAGACCACACTGTTCTCATGAATCTTTAAGATTGCAGATTGATGGACAGGGTCACCTGCATTCCCAACATTCTACATAAGATAGCTATTTTCTGCTCTGTAACAGCAGCCCCAGGAATGGGCTTCCTGTAATGGGAGCCATCATGGACAGATAATTTTACCTAAAGCCTTTGTATTTTATAATAATTATAATGACCGTGTTCACTGTTTTATTCTTAATACTTAGAATAGTGCCTATCGGGTAGTAATAGATACTTGTTGAATGAATGACTGTAGTGCTTGCATAGTGATAGACACTTAGCTTAATGACTTTTTGTACATCATCACATCTAATCTACAAGCTTACCATCACCCTACAGGGTATTAGGTATTACTCTCTCCATTTACAAGTAAGAAGATGAGCCTCAGAGGGGTCAAGCAACTTGCACAAGCTAGAGACAGAGCTGTCTGATTCTAAGACTCCTCTAGCTATGCACCATCATCCCATCTTATCCTCAGTCTTAGAATCAAGGATTATTACGGAGCCATTTGATAATGATCCTAATGGTGACAAAATAATTAACTCACGTTACTCTAAAATATTCTTTCAAGAAAATTAAATTTCCCTATGCTTATTCATGCATTCAGACAACAAATATTTATTAAGTTTCTACTACTATGTGCCAAGGACACTGCCAGGCTCTGGGATGGTGGAGACAAAGAAGACCTGAGTTCCTGTCCTTAGACAGCTGGAAACCCACACATAAGTAGAAGATCAGAATATATACAGTGGGCTGAGCACCACCGCAGAGAGATGCGTAGGGTATTGTAGGCATTCAGAGGAAGGAGATCTAATCCCCCTTCTTCCAAATACGTCAAACAAACAGTGTGAATTAAGACAGCACAAGGCTGAAAGTACTCTGGCAGATTCTCAGGCAGAGATTCAACTGAGATTATCTTATGACAACATCTGTATTCAGGTGTTATACATATTCATTGCTTCAGT